GGCCCCGGCCCCGGCCCCGGCCCGCGCCTTCCGCCCGTCTGCGACCCGCGGTCGCCCAGCGCCGGCATCCCGCGCACCCCCATCGAGGTACAGGCCGGGGGCGGCAAGGGAGCTCCGCGCCTGGGCAAGGCCGATCTGGAGGTTCAAACCCGGTGTCGCACCGTGGCAGGGAGCGGGGTGAAGCGGGAGGCAACTGGGGTTTTTCTCCCTGTTCCTCTCTCTCACTTGCAGCCTCCAGCATTTCAGGCCCAGGAAGTGGCGATTCGGAGGCTGTGCCCCCCCTCCCGGGCTCAATTGCTGCTTATGCCCCTTTGCTTCCATCGTGTCCCGTCCCTTTTGTGGGCCTGGCACAGCTGTCAGCCTCCACAGCAGCTGGCAGCAGCGAGCCCCGCACTTTTCACGCAGCATGCAATTAAAAGAGCATCATTTCATGAGTTTTAGACTTGCTGCCTACTAGTTTCATGTTGTGACCCCCAGTTCTTAGTTTCTTGCCAGCTAAGAAGGTGCACTATAAGTGTACATTTCTTTAAGCAATTAGATGGCAAAGGTACTGTTTGATATAGCCTGTTTGCTCTCATGGGCATGCTCTTTTCGGTTTCTTATTAACTTTGCATTTGTATTATACTAGGGATTTGTGAGAGAAGCTGCTCATTTGCTAGATAGCTATCTGGTCTGGGTGGGTGACAAGCAACTGCATTAAGAATGTAATTAGCCACACAAAATGACCTAGGATCTTATTTTTTCGTACTTAAAAAAAAATAAATAAAAGCAACTTTGAATGACTTGATGTACCTCAACTTTTAGCAAATCTTTTGATACGGTCTTCCGCAACATTTTCACAGGCAAGCTAAGGAAGTATGGGCTGGATGAATGGACTGTAAAGTGGATAGAAAACTGGCTGGAGCCTCAGCTCAGAGAGCAGTAATCAATGGCTTGATGTCTAGTTGGCAGCTGGTATCAAATAAAATGCCTCAGGGGTCAGTCCTGTGGTCCTGTTCAGTGACCTGGAAGATGGTATAGAGCTCACCTTCAGCAAGTTTGCAGATGACACCAAGCCGGGGGGAGCAGTAGGGCTAGGATTCAAAGTGACCCAGACAAATTGGAGGATTGGGCCAAAAGAAATCTCGTGAGGTTCAGCAAGGACAAGCACAAAGTCGTTTGCTTAGGATGGAACAATCCCGTGTGCCGGTAAAGGCTGGGGGCTGACTGGCTGGGCAGCAACTCTGAAGAAAAGGACCTGGGGGTTACAGTGGACAGTAAGCTGAATATGAGCCAGCAGTGTGCCCTTATTGACAAGAAGGCTAATGGCACACTGGGCTGCATTGGTAGGTGTGTTGCCAGTAGATCAAGGGAAGTGATCATTCCCCTCTATTCTGCACTGGTGAGGCCGCATCTGGATTATTGTGTGCAGTTTTGGGCCCCCCACTGCAGAAAGGATGTGGACAAATTGGAGAGAGTCCAGAGGAGGGCAATGAAAATGGTGAGGGGGCTGGGGGACATGGCTTATGAGGAAAAACTGAGGGAACTGAGCTTATTTAGTCTGGAGAAAAGGAGAATGAGAGGGGGATTTAATAGCAGCCTTCAACTACCTGAAAGGGGGTTGCAAAGAAGATAGAGCTAAGCTATTCTCGGTGGTGAAGGATGATGATGGAACAAGGAGCAATGGTCTCAAGTTGCAGCAAGGGAAGTTTAGGTTAGATATTAGGAAGAATTTTCTCACTAGGAGGGTAGTAAAGCACTGGAACAGGTTACCTAGAGAGGTTGTGGACTTTCCATCCTTGGAGATTTTGAAGACCTGTCTACACACAACTTTGGCTGGGATGATCTAGTTGGGGATGGTCCTGCTTTGAGCAGGGGGTTGGACTAGATGACCTCCTGAGGTCCTTTCCAATCCTAACTTGCTATGATTCTATGACAATTTAAATAAAAAATCCAGTTAGATAGTTCTTTTATATCTCAAGCCTGCTGTCTTTGCCTATCCTGCTTCTGTCTGCTTTGGTTCCACCTGGATCCTGCCCTTTTGCTTGGTTCTACCTTCCCCTTCAGGTTCCTTTTTTATTTTCTCAGGTGGAGAAATCCCCACAGAGAAGCCCCCTTCCTGAGCACATAGAGGAGATGGGAGTAGCCGGACAGAGCCAGAGCTGGGATCCACGATCACCTACCTGCGGCATCTTGCGCACCCCCATGAAAGTCTTGATGAGTGGTAAATGCACATGTTCTCTGGGAATATGTTTTCTATATGTTTCTTTCTCTTCAGCCCATTTCTTGGGGCTCTTAGCCATTTAGCCCAAGTGGTAGGACTCTGGGTCTTTCAGGGAGAGTGTTCACCACACTTGCAAACTCTTTAGTGATGGTGATCATTTGCCTGGTTCAGTGTTCCTTCTCCCACAGTGTCTTAGGATTTTTTAGCCCTGAGATATTGGTAAATAACTCCCTTCCATAAGCCTGCTTTTGCTGAGGTAGGTGGATTTACTTCTTGTTACCTTTCACCAGAATGTGACTGCATTCCTAAGTGGGTTTTGTTTGTTTGTTTGTTTTGGTTTGGTTCTTTGCTGAGCCCATTTCAGTTCCACTGTCTCTCTATGGAGGAGGTGGCTCTGGTGGGTTTGCAGTGCCCTATATAGAGAGATCTACATGGGAAAGGGTTCCTTCTCTGCTTGATGAGTTGCCTCAGCCTTGCTCTTTGTGCCTCCTTTGTCTCTTCTTTCCAGACACCATAAACTGCTTGGTGAAGCAGCTTAGTGAAGCTTTTGGAGCAGAGCTGCTGAATCAGGAGTTGCAACTGGAGCAGCCACCAGCCCAGGGACCAAAGCCTGGAGCTGCCGATGTTCCAGGGAAAGAAGCAAAAGGAAGGAAGGTCCAGGAGGAGAGTTCTGCCAGGGATGCTTCCCTGGAGAAGACCTCTGTGTTGGTAGAGGAGGGAGAGAAGCAGCCATCTCCCAATACTTGTACTGGGGCTGTAATGTGGCCAGCTTGCTTCACAGAGCCCACTTTTCCTTCAAGTGAGTTCATGGGTTCTGTGGGCTTTGCCTGGGTAGGGGTTGGAGATTCACTGGGATGCTCACGAGAACTGAGGGGCCCTCCTGGGCACCCAGCAGGGGATAAGAATAATAAGGCAAGAAGGCAGGATGTGAAGGTTCCTGTGGGTGGGGAAGGTGGGGTCCACACTTATGAGGAAGGCTGGAGGAATAAGCAGTTTGTTTTCAGGGAGGGAGCTCTGAGGGAGGTGGGAGGCTAATGTAAGTTGTAAGCAGGTTTTGGAGGGGGGAGCAAGCTAGCCTAGAGCAGCAACAGGATTGGACCTCCTGCTGCAGGCTGTGAAGCACAAGGGGTGGGAGTGGGGGGGAAGGGGATGGAATGATTCAACTTTGATTTAAGACCAACAGAATCTTGCAACAGAGGTGGAGAAGTAGAGACCCAGTATCCTGGTGCAATATATAGCTTGGGTGTGAGAGAGCTAAGGTCCTGAATTCTGCCTAGGGCATGCCCCAGCCACCTCCATGGAGCACTCTGACCTGCTTTCCCAGGGCAGCTTTGTGCATCTCGCCCTGTTCCATAGACCTCTGTTTTTACTTGTACCCTGACTACGTGTACCTCCTTTCATTCTTTCCCATTTCAACTGAAGCACACCCTCTAGCACCTTTCCCTTGGCTTTGCCATCAACCCATACTGTTCCTCTTCTGCCTTCTACTTCTGTATTTCAACTGGTTGTCTGAGTGAAGAGGAGGATACCTAACATACTCCTTCCTTTTAAAATAGTCAGTGCTCTTTAACAGGGGGTTTGGAAGTAAAGGATTCCCTCAGACCCAGTCTGGGATGGCAGGCTTTTTCCTCTGGGGAATATGGCTATTGGGTTGAGAGGGGAAAGGGAGCACAAGTATGGAGTAGCTTCCCTATCTGACATAAGAGCACAGGGAAGTTCAGTGTCGATAGAAATTTCTCTGCAGTTTCTCATAGAGCAGATGTAAGAATGGAGAGAGTATGCAAGCATTGGTATGACTTCTCTTGGACTGTGCTGAGAGTCTTCATAATGGAACAGCTCCTTTGAAAAGATCTGCTGTTGCCTGATGTCAGGTCACTGGATTTGATGCCTGGGGATGGGGTGTGGTCTGCTGTGAACAATAAATGCCAGGCAGGGCAATACAAATCCGTGAAACTAACCTAATAGCTGTGGCTATTGAGGTTTTTTTTTTTTTTGCATGTCTTTATTTTCAGTGGGCAAGCCCACAAGACGCAAAGCCAGCAACAAAATCCTAGCAGCCTCTGGTGGTACTGGGCGCTCTCCTCTCAGCATCCTCCAGGACGACAATTCCCCAAGCAACCTTGTTCCTCGCCAGGTGATACTTAATGGAGGGACGGGGTTCAGATAAGGGGCAGTATGGGGTTGGAGTTCCCAGTTTCCCAATGTTGCTGCTGTTCATTTGAGAACTTTGTTTCTTGCTTGGAGACAGAACTCCTAGCTCTTCATTTCCCAAGCCCTTGGTTTGGGGTGGTGACCCAAGCACACAGACCCTTTATTGCTGAGAATTGACACTTAGATGCTTATAGATAGTTCTTCTGTCTCTCTCTCGTCTTATCATGGCATTCCCAAATTGGGCTATGTATCTCCCCAGAAATCTGGCCTCTGAGCACTTTAGTGGCGCTTCTCAGCTCCATCAACCTTTCAGGGATTATGGGGGCATAGAGCTGGGCACAGTATCCCCGAAGGATCTTTCCAAGGCCACAGAGAGGAGCACCTCAGACTAACTCGCCCTCTGTACTCTTTTTTTTTTTTTTCCTTTTCTCCAGGGTAAGAGACACCTGTCACTAACAGAGAACCTAGGGGAGAGGAAGGAGGCGACAGCAGAGTCAGGTCGCAGCCTCAAATTGGGGGTTTCTGCCTGGGATGACTTGAACAAGGAAAACCAGCAGTGTCGTTTGGTGGAGAATTAAAAAGGGCCTCCTTTTCACTACGTCCCTCATGATTGTTTTCCTTTTGTATTTCTCAAATGGAATTCTTCCAAGGGGAAAGAATTTTGCGGAAGGGCAAGGAGAACCTGGCCTGTGGTCACTTTATCCTTTTAAAACCAAGCCTTTCTGCAGGAGAAGATAAATAGGCACATCCTTTTTTTTCTACCTTAGTTTTATATGTACCTATGTTTTGTGTACAGGCTTCTGGTCCCTGGCTCTCTTAGTTTCTGATATCTTGCCAGCACTCAACTCAATGTATAGTTTCTGTATGTGGTGAATAAATGTATTTTAAAGCTCTCTTCTTTGTCTGGATCTAGTTAAAGCCTCCAGCGGCATCTTATTCACTGCTTTGCCTAGTTCCTTTCCTGCCCAGCTGTTGCTGAATCTTTGGGTATTGCTGCAGTGTGAATTTAGTGTTGGCTGTGGCATGGTAACTACCCTTGTGCATGCTTCTACCTAGGCTAATGCCAGGGGCTAACCCTGCTTCTGTTGGGGAGTGAACTACCTGACATAACTTGTGCACATCTCTGTTCTGTCACAGACAATGGAGCCAGTACAGGAGGAATGCCACCTACAAGGGAAGCAGGCACTGACCTCTAGCAAAGCCTAAGCTATTTGTTAGACTTTCTGGCCTGCTGGGAAGCTACAGTCACTGTGAAGGAATGAGGACAAAGTGCTGTGTATGAGGAAGTTGAAGTCTAGTACAAAGAGCATTTTATGGCAGGGGTGTCAGTGATGGGGCCTGTAGGCATCCAGAGCTGGTCCAGGGTGTATGCTGCATGTTGTGTCCACACTGGACCAACTCTACATAGTGGCTCTGTCCCTGCATTCTGCAGCCAGTGCACAGGGCTGGCACTGCATATAGCACATACCCCACACACCACATGCAGTATCAGCCCTGGACTGGGGTCAGTGCATGCTGCATAGGTTTGCAGGGCAGGACTTAGCATGTGCACTTCATATAGCATGGGGGGCTGATCTGGGGCAAGTGCTGAATGCAGTGTCCTGTCAGGCTGCCCCTGTACCCTGACTGGGACCAGTTCCAATTGTGCTTACAGACTGGCCCCATGCATTGAGCCAGCATGCAGAGTCAGTCCAGCCAGATGCTGCAGGCAGTGCATGCCTTGGGCTGGCTCTGCATTCAAGCCCCATACTGGTCTCGGTACATGAGCTGCCCATGCTGGACTTGCCCTGCATGCTGGTTCTGGCGCATGAGGGCAGGCTATAGGCCTGATTTGGACCAAACCCAGGGTCTGGGCACAGACCAGACCCCCACCCTGCATTCAAATGAATCTGACACCCCCGTTTTATGGTAACATACCCCATTTTGGAGTGAGCTGTTTACACATTGACAATTGTAGTCTTCTTGACCTGATGCCTACTGTTGCAAGTAAACATGGTTGTAACTTGCCCTTTGCTACCTGGAACTTCTCCCCATGTTGTCCCTAAAATATTAGGGCCTCTAGCTACAAACCAGGAAGGGGCTGTAGCTTAAGGCAATAGTGAGCACAAATACAGAGCTGCTTGAACGTGCTAAGGAAGACTTAGGAGGTTACCATCTTCTGAGCCTTTCTTCTTCATGTGTTCCAAAAGGAGAGGCCCAGTGTTTCATATGGAAGTAGGGAGAGACTATGCATTATTCTTCCTGTAGGACTTATCCCGATGGGGCTATCTTTGCCTCTGCAGGAGCCAGAGTAGAGTGCAGTACTTGCACTGTAGTTCTTGGAACAACAATTCTCTGTAATGTTTGCAACATCTCAGTGCAGTGAACCTGCTTGAAATGATGCAGTCCGTATTTCATTTGATCTCTTTATTGTGCCTGGACTATGATAATTATATCTTTAAAGCAATGATTAAGTGAGGCTATGGGCTAATGCAGGGGAAATACACAGCATATGGGGGTTAGTGACGAAGGGGAGAGAACAGCTATGGACAGATGATGATAATAAATTAAGCATTTGCTGTTCCTAATGCTCCAGATTGGGGAAGAAAAGTTCAGAACCCCATTTAGTGCACTAATGAAACTTGAGCAAAGTGTGGGCTTCTTCCTCTACCACAAACTAGTTGGGATTTCAACTCTCCGCTTAGGAAAGGAGGTTATAATCCCCAAACCAATGTGCCTGGGTGGCGGGGAAAGGTTTAAGAGCAATCTGTATGAAGGAGGTGTTTGTTTGTTTGTTTGTTTGGGGAGGGGGGCTTGCACTCCTATAAGGGACTGGGCTCAGATGGAATGGATTTATGCATATGGAGGGAGGTGGTTTTCTAAAGGTGGGTTGTTTAGAGGGATGGATGCCCCTGAGTTGATACAGGAATGAAAGGGGGTGGAAGGTGCCTTTGGGTATGTATTGCAAGTACCTAAAATCTGTGCAATGGCCACACTTGCGCAGGGTCCTAGAACCTGGTAAAGGCTGAAAGCTGCTATGACTTCTTTAGAATATGGGTAGGGGAGAACAGCCAGTGGAGAGCTCCTACCCCTGGACCTCTCTTCTAGGCCAGGAAGCCCCTGAAAGTGACTGTCATATAAATATAATATGACACAGAGAAGTGGCTCTGTATAACATACAAGGACCAATTGTGCTCTGTTGGTAATGCCTTTCATGTAGGCTCAGTGCTTGTACCCTGCTCTCAGTATTTCTCCCCTCCCCATAATCCTCTTCAGTTCCAAATCTTGAGGAAACTATCCCAGGAGCCGGTAGCCACGGCCATACCATCTGCTGTCACTCCGAGACAACTCACCCTGTTGTCGTGACCAGAGAGGATTCCTGATGGAAAGAGAAGAGACTTTACCAAGGGGGAAGGCTCAGGGCAGTAGTGCCGTACTGCAGGCTCTTGACCTAAAAGTGCCTGCACCCCGTGTATGTACTAGGTTGGCTCCTACTAGGGACCTGGACCCAGACCCAGCCCATGTCCCAGATGCAAAAATAGGCAAACCACAAGTGTCAGATAAATAGTAACCTGCCCAGCCTAGGAGTGTGGATGTTTTGCTGAGGGTTGAAGGCACACACATTTCAGAAGTGTTTGATTAGCAGTGCGGTTCTCAGCCTTTTCAGATTCAAAGCACATTCCCTAACTGCTGAATTTAGCAGCACCCCATTTCAAAAACTCATTTAACTTTTTTTACCTTTGAAAAAATACTAAAGTAATTCTTCTCTTGCCAAAAAAAAAAAGCCCCAAACCAGTCAGAATGTTTTTGACACTGTGAACTCCTACTGGTATTTGAAATCTCTAGGTTTATCTTGTGAATCATGCATAGGTATTTGCATACCTAACAGTGCTGATATTGCATGGCACCCCATGGCACCCTTACAAGAATTTCATGGCACCTTTAAAAGGATCTCTTGGGACCCAGGTTGAGAATCACTGATATTAGCAGGCATTTCCTGAACTGACTCACCCACACGCTCCCCCTTCAGGGAGTCCCAGATGTTGCAGTTAAAATCATCATAGCCAGCCATCAGGAGACGTCCACTGCGGGATAAGGCGATTGATGTGATTCCACAGATGATGCTCTCGTGAGAATAGACAGTAAGCTCCTGATCTGCCCGGAGGTCAAAGAGGCGGCAGGTGGCATCATCTGAGCCAGTGCAGATTGCCTCGCCATTGGGGAAGAACTGAGGGGGAGAGACAACACCATTCAACCAGGGGAACTTATCCTGTCCCAGAGTACCCAGCTTGGGCCCTCTGCAGTTTTTGACAACACTCCTTGTTCTTGACAAGCAAGTCCCCTGTCATTCCAACTGTGGGCTCCATGTAAATGAGGGCTGTTAAAGATATGGCCCATGGGCTGAATCTGTTTGTGCAGGCTGCCTCTGACATTGGTGTGCTCTGAGCAAGTCTAGCAGGCTGGGACCCACTGACAAGACAGGCGTTGTTGTCCCCCATACCCTTTAACTGAGAATGTTGCTGTTTGGTATGAGTTAGGGCTCGGAACAGCTCGTTCAGTCTCAGCACTAAGGGGGCTTTTCACAGAAACAGAAACTTAGGTACCAAACAGCAGTTGTGAGAATGCTAGTGGGGTCTGAAAGTGGACTTTATGTCTAAACACCCAAACAGATCTTTCAGGATCTGGGCCTCAGACATTAAGTGACTTGCCCAGCCTCCCACAGTATAGCAAGGACTTGAACTCGCATCTTCTGTGTGTCATGCTAGCACCATAAAATGTGGCTCATCCTTTCTCTTACTTGTGGTCCTCCATATGCAACAATGATAATACCCTTTAATCTTGCCCTGCAGTCTCATCTGCCCCTAAATATTTCAGTCCTGGGCCATGCACCAACATTTCTATTGATTCCACTCAACAGATCAGATACATACACAAATGGCATTGATGTCAGACTCATGCCCTGAAAACGTTTGACGACAGGTTCCCTCCCGCACGTCCCACAGCTTAGCAGTGGCATCACAGGCTCCAGAGATAAAGAGATTGAAATCTGGGGAGACAGCCAAGCTCATACAGTCTCCAGTGTGACCCAAGAACACTGTCTTCTGCTGTCCTGTTTCAATATCCCAGAGTGCACTGTAGGGGGACAAGAAGAGAGTCCTCAGGGAAGTATTAGGATCATAGGCTATTTGGAGCTAAACCCCTTTGAGGGTGTTTGTGAATTTAAAGGAGAGAAACCATGATGGTAAAGGGACACTTTTACCATTTGAGCTGAGGTAGCAGCTGGAAAACCCCTTAGCACCCATACAGTTGTGTTAGTAGGTCTTGTAGTCTGTGGACAAGGGGATGTTGAGCTAATTCAGGCAAGACCAACACTAGAAACTTTGGCTGATATAGCAGGGTCAGTCAGGGGTGTGATTTTGCAGATGTCTCTATAGTGATGGGAGCTCTAGTTTAGATATAGTGGCAAAGAAGTACTGCAACTGGTATCAACAGACAGCTATAAATGCCCAGACACTTGGAAACTTCCAAGGCTATTATATTAAGATTCAATTGAACATGGAATATTGAAAAGAAGATTGCTATATCAATGTTGTATTAGCAAGATAGATAATGCTTTCTGGCTTCAGGGTGGTTATTAATGCAAAGGATGGGGAAGGTCAACAAGCTGAGAAGTCCTGAACCTTGGGGGACACTTCATATCCTGGTTTCCTCTGGTCCAAGAGGCCAGACAAACAAAGACTGTAAAGGGTGTAAAGCCTTGGTCTGGAGTCAAGGGACACAGCTGCAATCCCAGACCTAACTCAAGCACTGGCCCTTCAAGGCCCCATGTCAATGATAGGCAACACCTGAGAAGTGGCATGTCCCTGTTGCATTATTTTCTCTTATGCATGTGTCTTGCAATAAATGCTACTG